GCAAGATTGGTTTCACTATGCCCAAATTAATGAGGTTGTTAAGTTGGACAAAAAAATAGGATTCCAGGTGGAAAAATCGAAACTTGAGACAGAGTTGTTAGAGCCAAAGACTAAGGTATTATCGAGAATGTATAACTTGCTGCTTAAATGGAATACACAGGATGAGATAGTCAAATCAGCCATGATAAAGTGGGCCCAAGACATTGGTTATAATATCATGTTTGAAGACTGGGAAAGGTTATGGACCACCGGTATGAAATTTACGGCATGTAATGCCTTGAAAGAGAACATTATGAAAATGATATACAGGTGGTACATGACCCCAGTCAAGCTTGCTAAGATATACCATTTGTCTGACAACAAATGTTGGAAGTGTAAGGAGGCTGATGGAACTTTCTTTCACCTTTGGTGGACTTGCCCGAGAGTGAAGGCCTTTTGGGAAATGATTTATAATGAGTTAAAAAAGGTGTTTAAGTACACCTTTCCTAAAAAACCGGAGGCCTTCCTCTTGGGTATTGTCGGCCAAAAGGTGTTAAAAAAGGATAGAACGTTTTTTATGTATGCAACTACAGCAGCAAGAATCCTGATTGCCAAATATTGGAAGACTCAAGATCTGCCCACGCTGGAAGAGTGGCAAACGCAACTGATTGACTACATGGAGTTGGCCGAAATGACCGCCAGAATCCGAGACCTGGGAGAAGAAGCTTTGGAGGAGGACTGGAAAAAATTTAAGAACTATTTGCAAAAATATTACAAGTTATATGAACTATAAAACGACGCAAAATTTGAAATACTAGCCCCAGCAATGAGAGTGCAATATCTATGAAATTGGATAACACCATTGAAAGAAGCAAGTTTAAATGTTAAAAATGTTAATATGGAATGTTTTCAGAGTAATTGGACAATAAGGGATTTAAACTTAAATTGCAATTGAAAGTACAAAGAAACACATGAAACAAGGGTACAATTTGCTGATAAATTTATTGTTAAGAATGCATTGTGTGGGAGATGCGGGGAAGTTCGATAAAAAGTTGAAATAAGCTGTTGAAGGGTTATGATTCTTTTTATCTTTTTTGTCTTTTTTTCTTTTTTCCTTTTCTTCTGTCCATGTCTGAAAAAATGCAATAAAAATTATTTAAAAAAAAAAAGAATTAATTGCATCCAGAAACAGAGATTTGTTCTTTTGGGCTCTCACACACCATGCTGCCCTACACATAAAATGAAGAAAGATAACCATGCTGGAGATGGATAAGATTGGAGCCGTAAATGTACAGAAGCCATCGTTGTAAATCCAAATGCTTCAGAAAGAAAGGTGGTGCTCAATTAAATTTCATGCTAAGACTCCACTTGTAATAATCTGGCATTATGCAGAGTTATGGGTAGCTTTTTCAACAAGCATGCCAAGGTAAAAATTAAGGGTTATGTATTAAACCTCCATGAAATTACTCTTCTTAAAGATAGCCTTTTGTGTGGTAATATGATTTGTCACTTACACATCCTGGGAGTCTTATTGTCATGTGGATTTGCAAAGGAATTCTATTGTAAAATAATGCTCCCCCCCTCAAACGATGAAATAAAAATGTGCACTTGCAAAATAATTTCCATAATTTAAACACATTGCATGATGGATCAACACAGAGGATGGATTGATTTTATTTAAATCACAAAGGAAGCAAATACCAGTTGTAATTGTTGATTTAAACCAAGTCTCCTGTTTCTAAATTCACATATTTTCTTAGAAGACATGGATTACAAGTTGCTATGGCATATTTGCAGCTTAGAGCCAGACTGCTGTCCCTGATGCTTGTCTTCTCCAGGCTTTCCCCTGCCTTCTCTCTTTTTCTATTAAAAAAATGTAACAATGAGACCACAGTCTAAAGTGGAAGGCCTATGTGTATGCACACATGTGCCTGTGTGGAACCACAAAGAGAATGAGCTTTCTTAAACCTTCCCCCACCCCTAGTACTTTCCTTCTGTTAAAATACCCCTAAAGCTGCTCTTCTTATTACAGGGGGAAAGACCTGTAGGAGGAAATGCAGCTGGGGATGCAAGTTTTAGCAGAAAGAAAGGGAAGGAACCTAAGAAGAGCATGCTCATCTAGTTGAGCATCCTTTTCACACAGTGGCCAACCAGATGCCTAAGGGAAGCCAGCAGCAGGACCCGAGCACAAGAGCACTCCGGTGTTTTCCAGCAACTGGTATTCAGAAGGATACTCCCTCCAACCATGGAGCCAGAGGATAGCCATCATTGTAGTTGATAGCCTTTACTTCCATTAATTTGTCAAATCCTCTTTTAAAGCCATTCAAGTTGATGGCCACCCCTGCCTCTTGTCTCAGAGTTCAATTCTGCACAACATTAAAGAAGTACTTCCTTTCGTCTGTCCCGAATTCTCCAACATTCAGAATGCCGTTCCGATGCCAGTCTTCACCTCAGCTGTTTTCACAGATTAAGTTGGTATAAACAGAAAATGTCAGAAGCTCCACAAGGCTAAGCGTCACATGTAGGTTGACCCCAAGCAGAGGCTTTTAAAAACAAGCACATTCCAAAAGTTGAAGTCATGTAGCCAACATGCATTCCAAAATTACATCTAAGTAGATATAAAATACATTTTTTGCTCTTTCTATATGCATATTAAGGATGTTAAGCAAGACTGTTTACTTGAAGGCTAAAACTGCCCTGCTCTCTGCACTTATTTGGAAACTGAACAAAAGTGGAATTTATTTCTGAGTAAACATATGCAGGACTGAACTTTAAGTGTCCATAACTTTTCAGAAGCGATGATCATTACTTCCTAAGCAAAATAGGGTTTCTCCATGTAATGGAAAACAAATGCTGGTGGTTTATAGTCATGATCTGAGAACTCAAGGAAATGTAGAGCTTAGGTGACTCAAGGTCATAAGAGATCAAGGCCACCCACCTTGGGCCATCTGGAGGTTGATTGACTTTAAATTCTATCAGCTACAACCCCTGTGGCCAATGCTCAGAGATTATGGGAGCTGTAGTCCCACTGGAGAGCCCATCACTGCCACAGATGATCCTGCCAAGATGCAGGCTGCTATGTCACGGCTTCAAGCACAAGTGACGATTTGCTCATTCCTTGGTTCAACAGCCATCCCCATAAGTAAGAAATATAATACATGACTTATTCTGACATTTATAGCACAGCTAGTACTTAACCTCAGAAATGAGATATTTCTGCACATCATTCTTTTTAAAATAGAATGTGTCTGTGATACAAAGTCACTCTCTTGCTTCAGGAAATGGTCTTTATTTTTGCACTTGCAGGCAGTTTCTGGTGCCAGATGGAGTGGATAATTAACACGCACCTGAGATGTCCTTATCGGTGCCAGTCTTTACCTGCAAGGCTAATACTTTTGAAGTCAATGACAAAAGCACCAGCCGTAAGTGAGCTAACAGCCATTATGTCAATGGGTCTCTCATGCATGTACATTTATATTAAGGTCTAAATGTGCGCTAGGGCGAGCTGGCAATCCAAGACAGCAGGTTGACTTGACGTGCAGAGGGTAGGAGCCCAAAATAACAGAGTATTGTGATTGAAGTAATAAGCAGAAGAGCAGGCCGCCAGCTGTCTAGCTGAGTCATTTCATTCCCATGCTTACCCTCAATAGGAAGGCCTTTTCTCAATGTTCATTGGAAGGATGATTACTCTGAAATTGGAAAAATAGGGGCGGGGGAATAAAAAAGGATCCCCCCCATGCAATCCTGCAAAGATTAGTAGTTATGTTGAATTATTGCCACCTTCATAGCCTAAAATTCTGCATAATTCAATGTGCAAGAGGTTATGAGAGAACAATCAGGAAAAGGAATTCAGGAAGAATTACCAGACATGAGTATTAAAAAATCAGGGATTGGGAGGCAAGTGGAAGCAGATTAATAAGGGTAAGCAAGAGTATGGTGTGCTTAGGTGGGCTTCTCTGTTGTTGTTGTTGTTGTTGTTGTTGTTGAACATATATTTTTACTTGATAGGGTCATAGGTCACATCCACACCATACATTTAAAGTGCTTCCCCCAAAGAATCCTGGGAACTTTAGTTTGTTAAGGGTGCTGAGCTCTAGGGCAGTGTTTCCCAACCTTGTGCCTCCAGCTGTTTTTGAACTACAACTCCCATCATCCCTGACTAGCAAGACCAGTGGCAAGGGATGATGGGAATTGTAGTCCAAAAACAGCTGGAGGCACAAGGTTGGGAAACACTGCTCTAGGGAACCCCTTAGGAACTGCTGGTCCATAAATGCCTTGTGAGGGTGCTTCCTCCCCAAAACTTCATTTGTTCTCCCATGGAGCAGCAGCTGTAACTGGGGGAAAGGATGGATACGCAAAGTTATTCCAGCATCTGGGGAAATGATAGGAATCATCTGAGAAACTGATTTACTGTGTCAGTTTCATAAGTAGAGAGGAGTCCTTCTCTCAGTTGTGAGTTTCAGTGGAGATGGGGAGAGGGATACTGCAGATGAAAAGGCTTCCCCTCCATACTTTCATACAATTGAGATTAAAATGTGGAGGTTAATCGTAACATTTTAATGTATAGAGCCAACTCCAAAAATAGTGGGTGGAGCACTAAAAGTGTGCTTCCAGAGCAATGCACCTGCTCACAAGTGAAACAAATACAGAGGAAGGTTGAAAGATGATTCTAAATCTACCTTCATTTATTGATTTTAAAATCAAATGGTGGTTTGTTTGCTTTTTTAAAAAATGTTAAAAATTATTTAAACCTGATCTCCTGACTTTGCACATGCATAACAACAATGGCTTGGTGTTGTGTGAAAAAATGCTCTAATGTCCATTCTCCTCTTCCAGAGTGGCCACAAATAGAAGACCAGCATTTTTTAAGCCTGAACTCAGACAAACCCCCCCACTCCATAATGACACAAACTGGAAAAACCTCTGGAGAAACAACGCAGTTGCAGAATATGTTGATGCTTGGATGCAGCAGTCACACCACTTCATATCGATGGGGAAAGAAATTTTAACAACAAACTAAGTGCAAACACCTCTTGTCACGCCGGAAACCAATTTGGATTTCACAGCACCTTATCAATATAGTTTAAGTTAATTCCTTTCTGAAGTCACATTGCTAAAAGGCACAGATCAAGGTATATGTCTAATCTATTTAATTAATGTGCTGTGACTTTCCTGTGTAAAGATGCATTTCCATTTTGGAAACTCATTAGTCATTCCATTACAAATTTCTTTGCAGTGACAAGGACTAAATAACAAGAGAGTCTTGAAGCACCTTAATGACTAAGGGTGGTATCCAACAGTGATGGTTTCCTGGAGGAAAGAATCTATCAGAGGAATGGGAAGGTAGGGATATTTTGGAGATCTAGCATCCCTATGCAGTGCCCTGTGCTTCCCTTAAATCGGCTATGGGAGGTTGGGGAGAACTACTGGAAGATTTTTGGGGCACATGGAGTGCATATACTTCTGGTATAAATTCTGATTCTTCCTTCCAACTCAAATGAGAATGAATACATAATGGTGGTATGGGAGGAGAATGAATACATAATGGTGGTATGGGAGGAATCTCTTAATTCTCTTATTTACCTCTAACTGTCAGTTAGAGACAGCTAGTGTTTGCAGGCAGTAAAAAGCAATTTTGTGGGCAACTCACTCCAGAAAAAGGAAGATACCTATTATAAAAGGATTGTCTTTATTCCATGTAGAATATTATGCTTTCTATTTCTCAATATGCTTGTTACATGGGACGTGTCTGGATTTTTAAAAAACAACAACATTTCTCCATTTTCCTCTCTCTAAATATTTTACTTAGACATCTTGGACATGTTCAATAAAACCCTCTAGACCATCTTTCTAAAGCCACATTCCCAATGTATGTTCAAAGCACTGTGGAAACCGCTTTAAAGAACCATGGCTCCCCCACAAAGAACAATGGGAGCTCTCGTTTGTTAAGAGGGCTGAGAGTTCTTAGGCGACCCCCTAGTCCTCTCATGGAGGTGCAATTCCAAAAGTTGCTTATGAAGAGGGATTGGAAATTGGAGCTCTATGAATAGAATGAGGTTGCCTAGTGACTCTCAGCACCCTTGGCAAATTCTTTGTGGGGAGCCATGACTGTTCAGTGTGGTATCGTAGTGCTTCAAATGTAGGATGTGAAAGTGCCCAAGTATGCTCTATTAATTTTGTCGTCACAGTACAGAGCCAAACAGGACATGGCATGGGAAAAACGGTGAAACTGTTTTAAAGCAGCTGCACGGGAGGCCTCATACAGTGTGGTGGTCCTGGAGGGAGCGGCTAATATTTTCTCCTATGCTCTATGCTATTTACCTCACAGGGCAAACCATGCAGGCACCTGTGTGATTGATGACCTGTGTGTTTTGGCAAGAGTGGGCAGCTTGAACCGCCTTAAGGAAAATGTGTTCTTTCCAATGACGAAATGGTATGCGTGGCGAAAAAGGGTTTGCCCCTGCTTCTGCCAGTGCTTTGGCCCTGCTCAAATCACCCTTTCCTCACAGCTGCTCTTAACACTTTTGGGGGGAAATGTGGAATATCCTGTTCATTGGTCCCCATCACATCTAGTTTGGCCCTTCACAATCGGCTCCACAAGAACAGACTCTGTTGCTTCCTGCATCGAGCTTATTCCAGTATAATTTATTAGCAGAATCTTCTCTCAGCACCTGCTCATTACTCTGCTCTTCACAGCAGCAACCACCTGTGTTCAGTGACAGTTTTTTCCTTTCTCTGGTTACACCGTAATTGGTGTTTTGTCTGGGCTATAGGGCATCTGGGTTACATAGCTCCCCAGCTTCTCATTAGGAGAAATGACTGCTTAATGTAGTGGATATCCCGAAGGGAAGCAAAAATACATCCAGAATCCACATGTAAATGACCTGAGGGCACAGCCATCCTTTGGGACAATATACCTTGTCAGGTATGTCATATATTTCCCTGCTATTATTTCTCCTCTCTGCTTCTTTATGAAAAGCATAGGCAGTAGAATACACCTCTGGTTTTTTTTCCAATGAGGCTTATATAGGAATCATATATTAATGGTGGCTTGCATCTGGAATGCATGGTGGGTCGCTCTAGGAGCATATAAGACGATGTGGCATTCAGATTCTGTGGGCTGAATGCTGCATTTTGCTGTTCTCGCTTATCTTCTCAGCTGCTTCTAGTATGGGAACTGTCTGGTCTTCAGAAGATATTATCATGAAGCAGGAAGGGAAACATATGGTCTCTTAATTTGGTCGCACACACTTATATTTCTCTTTTGTGAGAGATCCAGTTCCCTTGTTTCCGTAATGACTTCTTCTCTTGAGGCTTTCTGTGTTGTCTATGTTATCTATGCACAACTGAGCAAAATATCACTCTGTTTATACATGCATCAGTTACAGGAACAATAGTGAAAATATATTCAGACCATGACCTTGCTTTCGCTATCTGCATACCAACCTCATAGTATTGTCAGCACATGGCATAGTTTTGCATACTATTTTGTAGCTCAGGATGTATTTTATACAGTAATTGCTCTGTGGTGTGAAAACAAAACATCACTAATTTATGAAAAAAAATCACATTCAAAATGAGTCTGTGACTTTAGCTATTTCCCCCAGGGAACGTTTGGCTTAATTTTGAATTAGATGTTCTTCTGCATCCTGAATTGTCTATTGCAGCCAAATCCAAAATCTTATTCCATTAAGGACTGGGAAAGTGCCTATTTAAAATTGCACATTATTTCATAAATAAGATAAGACATCCTGACTTTCATTTCTTCTTTGCTCAAGAACAATGGGGTAAGAATAGGGATGGGCACATCCATTGTTTTTGGCTTCTAATTTTTTCCAGTCTGAAGCTCAGTTTTTCACATTTCCATATCAGCTTGCAAATCAATTTCCCACAATAAAATGCATTTTTTTGTAAGTTACTTTCACTACAATGTGCATTTTTATTCTCATCTGCCCTGGTCTGTGTATATTTGTACACATTACTTGACTGGAGAACTGCATTGCAAAATTCAGAGAACTTTGTGAAGAATGGCTGCATTTAGGTCCATGCATTGTTTCAACGACTTGGCTGAAACTTTTGCAGTCCAATAATTCTGGACTGTGGTGCTGGAGGGAGTGCCCAAAACGCAACCATTTTAAGAGGAGTTGGTCCAAGCATTCAGCTGCAAAAGCATCAAGTGTGTTCCTTAGTGATATGCACGCTGGAGAGAATCTGTTCTTGGTGTGGTATAGCAGCACCTGCTATGGAAAGCAATTTCCCAATCAGGTGCACTGGATGTAGACCAAGATCATGTACTAACAATTTAGTTACTACAAAGGCATAACTGAACATGGATCAAACCAGTACAGCCAACAGTTTAGATCAGGAGTTCCCAAACTGTGGTTCCTGGGCCACCGGTGGTTTGTATGCTTCATTAGCTGGACCACGGCATGTGCACATTAAATACTCATTGTGGGTTTTAATTGTATTTTTATAACTTCTTGGTGTTTTGTTTTATTTTATTGTATTACAATTTGAATTTTGTGGAATGGAAATTGCAAAACAATAGAGTGCAATGTATAAGAAATAAAAGATGAAGCGGGGGGAGGGACAAAGAATACTGCGTTTGGTTGATGATTTAAATGATAAATCTATGTGGGGATGGGGAGGATGTGGGGATGGCTTTGGTATATTTGCATTGTGATGTCATATAGAAAAAAACAATTTTTTTAAAAAAGATTCACTGCCATCATTTCAACAGGATAAAGGTAGCATTTAATATAGCAATCTAAAATTTGCAATACGACAGTAGTGAAAAAGCTACTATCAAAGCAAAACTACATTTGTAGAGTGGCTACCGTTTTAAATAAAGTATCTGGCTGGACAGAAATGCAGACATAAGTATAAGAATTAAATAAGGTCTGTGTTTACAAGCATGCATACTGACACCATACAAATGTATGCCCTTTGCAGGATACATAGTCCCTCATGACTATAGGTAGTGATAGCAACCAATAGCTACCTCAAGTTTAAGCAACCTTGGTGTGTTTTCATTATGCACTCATTTTCCCTTTGTACATTACGAAGGTTCCCTGACACACACACCTGATAGATGCTCCAGGGAAGACAAACTACTGAAATGTAGCAGATAACATTAATCTCTCTTATTATAACCAGGAAGCTAAAGCTCTACAGGGTTAGTAACAGGATAATTTTAATACAACGGATCAGAATATTTCTGGTACCAATAACATGAAGGCTTTAGGTGCCACTTATCCTTGGGAGCAAGGAGCTGTCTCCTGGATAAAGCTTGCTTAGAAATTAGATGAGAGATTACAGAACTTCCTAGAAGTATCATACCCAATTTCACAATTCAAAGTGAGAGAATGAACAAGTGGCAGAACACAGGTTGTATACAGATAAGGTCTCAAGTTTGAATTTCTGGAATTTCCTGTGGAGCAGGGCTCATGGTCTGAGAAAGACACAGGCCACAGACCCCAGAGATGTGTTCAAGACCCACTGCAAGTCACTGCTGGCAGTGCATGGGCTCTGTAATGGCTCCTCATATCTCTGCAATTGTCTTTTATTCTTCCAGCTTTTACACATTTCTAGATTGTGGAGAACCTTGTGCTTTGGTGTTGTAGCTTTTAAGCCCTCTGGGTGGTAACAGTCAATGCGTTGTGGGTGGCACTGTTGCTCAACAGGAGATAACCAAAGAGTTAGCCAAGGATTGGTGACCTGGAGTTTTCTCAAGTGGTTTGCTTTGAATGAGTTCACAGGCAGTCAGTTCATGGTAGAGGGTATCTAAGACTTCAATGATATGTGGTTTTCCTTTAAAACAGAAAAAAAATGCAAATAGTGAATTGGAAGGTTAACAAAACAAAGACGAAGCAGTATGAATATCAATAACATGTCCTTTCTTACAAAACGTTAGGCATAATTGCCAAAATTTGATGCAGACTTTTTGAAGGACTGCATTGCGAACACATTCTTGTTCATATCAAAGTGAAGCAGAGTGGAGCAATCTTCAGTTATCTTGGTTGCTCCTTCTGCTTCACACACTGTGGTCAGTTAATCCACATCCTTGAACACACAAAGATGAGTTTTGAAATGTATCTGTCTCTGTATGTTGGCAGTGTGCTCTAAAGCTAAACCCCCTGAAGCTATAGTCACAAATAAATAGCCACAGATCAAGCCTTTGGGCTGTAAAATTAATCTCATGCCTAAATCAAAGTTGAGCTCCCACTACAATGAGAGAAAATTGCTAACCAAATCCACCTGGTAACGTTTGATTGTGGGTGCTTCCAGTCAGGTGCTGAATATTGCAAATGGGTTAATCAGATTTTGCAACCCAGTCATTGGCAACATGGGTTTTTTTTTAATAGATAGCTTATCTAGTTTTCCATGGAACAGGTAAGTCCAGATAAAATGGGGGGAAATATGGGCTGGAATTTTAATGCCAGTGATGTCCTGCAGATGCTGCGCACAAAGATTTCGGGATGCAATTTGTGCAGTAGTGAATACAAAGAAAGTTGATGTTGCAAATGAGGCAGGCTTAAAATAGAATGCTTGTGGGTTGAGTTTCTTTTCATCTGTGATGCAGAGAATTCTATTTGTTGGGGAAATAAGCGTGGAGGAGAGGGAAGTAAGGGAAGAAATGGGAAGTAAGGAGGGAACTGCACTGTAAGCTCCACACGGGATTGTTGACAAAAGCAGCAGATCTCCAAGAAGTTCAAGGTGCACACATTCTCCTGCAAGTCTCCTCACAAAGCTACAATTCCTAGATTTCCCTGGGAATGTGGATTGATTGACAGACAGCTCCAAGGATTGTAGCTCTGTGAGGTGTATAGGGGTCTCCTGACACTTCTCAGCAGCCTTAACAAACCACAGTCCCCAGGATTCTTTGGGGGAAGCCATGTCTGTTTAAAGTGGCATGATACAGAATGAAATGTATAGTGCAGACAGGGCCAATGTTACAATTCCCAGCAACCAGCAACAGTGCCCAGAATTCTTTGAGTGTAAAATGTGTTCTGAATGTGTTTTAAAGGTACAGGGCAGGATTTAACTAAGGAGCCCCATCAGCACAAGCCCTGCAAAAGGACTTCCCCTTGTGCAGTGGGCCTTTCCCTGTTCTCTTCCCCCTGCAGGCCCCCTAAATTGCCTAAATGGGGCAGGATGGAAGAACCCCTAGAACAGCACAGAGGAGGGGGAGGAGGAGGGTGGTCATTCTGCCTGGGGAAATGCTTGGCCTGACAATCACCTTAGCATCATGTTGAACTCTTCCCATAGCGTCTTCTCAGCTTAAGTCTCCTAAAAAATTCAAAGAAATTTCTCTTCCATGCCACTCCCTCAAGAAAACAACAGAAAACCAGGCCTCACTTTTGTAGGGGGCAGGATATTTTTAGGGAGGGGATTTTGACACAGCCTTAGTTTATTTGCCATTTATTGAAGGACTCGTTCAAATATCCAGATGCCTAGCACTGAGGGACAAGGAATCCCTGCTGGAGACAAAGAGATAATGAAAAACAAAAAAAAACCTTCTGTATGCATTAATTCCCTCCCATTACTTGCATTTAGATCATTCAGACTAAATTTCGAATCGTTATCTCATATATTTTCATCCATTCTTCAACCCATTTTGCTCTATGAAAAGCTCTTCCTTTCCCTGCAGTCTGTCCATGTGCAACATGCCAGTTCCCTCTCAAGGAGGTCAATGCAAAAACTTTGCAATTAGAAACCAAGTAATCAAATAAAATCCATCAGGTCATAAAGGTTCTCGTAACAACAGCTTATGCACAGTGGGGCTACCGCCTGAGGAGAGGACTCAGCAGATTTAGGCTTTGCATATGAACATGAAAGGTTATTACAGAGAAGATCTGACCCACTTCCTTCACTAAAGGATGCTACTTTCCGCTATATTCTCTTTTGTTACACTGTAGGGAGGAAAGAAACTTTTATGCAGTGAAGAAAAATTAGCCTAGAGGGTGTGTTCTACTTTCTCACATATCTGTACAATCCCAATGAAAAGGAATAGGTTGAATATGCATTTGGGCAAAGCTCACAGTCAATGATAAAAAGACTGAGTGAGAGGGAGGTGTCTCCAGTTATGCACAAAGTTCATGCTAATGGCAGAATCTAGTTATGTTTCCATTTCCATGTAATTTCAAAGATGGGAAGACCTTCGATTTAATAGATGTCTTCAAGTAACAATTCCCTGTCTCTCAAAGCACAGCCATGGTGAAATTATGATTTTATTTATTTCTCACCAAAAGTGTCAAATGACAAAAAGCAACTTGCTTTATGCCAGGACAGCAATTAGACATGCTGACCCTCCAAAAACAGGAAGTGGTGCCTTCTATATCAGGGTTGCTACCTCATTTGCCTTCCTACAGCTCCAATAGCTGCTCACCCATCTCACCTTTTCTCTTACCCAACTATCAGAGAACGGTCATGGGGGTCTTTATGAGCTCTATCCTTTGACCAGTGCCTGAGCTCATAGAAAACCTTGCTTATCAGCAGGTGCTTAGATGAATTTCCTTAATTGGACCTATCCCTGACTCTCAAGAGTGTAGCATCTTCTCTTTATCTCAGGGATGGGGAAATGATGGTCCTTCTGATATTCTTGTACTCCCAACTCCCACCATTTCTGGCCATTGGCCATGTTGGCTAGGTATGATGGAAGTTGTGAGTCCAACAACATACAGATGGCTACAGGTTCCCCATACCTCCCCTAGCCATTTCTGAGAATGTACCAGGCAGTGCTGGAATGAAAAGTCTCTTCCATCCACTGCAATAGCAAAATCATGTTCCCCTCCAAATTGCTGCTCTAGGTGGCCTCTCTATGGACAGTGACACCTAATGGCAAGGCTCTCCATGCATGGCTTTACTTGCTTACCATGTTCTGGGTCACAGCAGGATTCCAAAGTGCTCAGTAAGATTTTCCCCAAGGCACGCTTAGATATGTTCTTCAAAACACAAAATATTAGGGAACATTTAGCTTCAACAGAGGCTTATATGCACACTTCTAAAGAGAAAGAACATTAGTAATCCCTAAACAAAAAAGGAAACTTGGTCTCCCTAAACAAAAAAGGAAACTCATTACTATATCTAACAAAAAGAAACCCCCACCTCATAGTCATTATTTTGTTTATTTAAAAGATCTATACTGTGCCTTTTCCTTACAAAAAGCTAAAGACTGCTAACTATAAACTGGCAGAAACATGATTTATTTTTGGCATTCTTTTCTTCTTTGTCATGTTTTGACCAAGAGATAAATTCTAGAGTGCAGTTTCAGAGGGTAGTACCTGTGCAATGATGCATGGACACACCTGGGTACATGGTTGCACACAACAAAGAATGCAAGCAGAGGATATGGGAATAAAAAAGCATTCAAAGTGATTGTGGGCTAATGGCATAATACTAATGGCAGTTTAAGCAAATGTGTAAGTGGATAGCATATCAATTTCCAATGGAATAAGTGAGTCCAGTTCACATATGGCCCCAGCACATGAGTTTTGTGCACATGAGGGTTTAGCCTACCACATCACTTGTAAAACTTGTAAAGTATATATAAAGGAGGCCTCTCATGTGAACCTGCTACCTGTTTTGGGGGCACTACATGGCAGAACAGAGTCTCAAACAAAGACGTGCTCTCCCAAGCCCACATTCCCAGCATGTTTGCACTTGTGTCTCAGTGACATCTATGCTGACTTGGTTATGTACACAGAATGGAAGATAGCAGGATCCCCAAGGACATGCTCTATGGGGAGCTGGCTTAAGGTACCAGGCCTGTTGGTGGACCAACTCTGCATTATAAAGGTGTCTGCATATGTGACATGAAGGCTGGAACATCAACCCCACTGTGTGGGTATCCCTTGCAGACGACTGGAGTGCCTGGAGACAGACAGTCAGGTTGTGCATCCACAGCAGTGCCCAGAGGAAAAATGACAGCTAAGAGGAGTGCAGAGAGAAAAAACGCCATGGTGCATCTGTAACAGTGAAACCAGACACCTTCACCTGCCCCACCTGCAATAAAACATGTCTCTCCCATTTGGTCTCTACAGCCACAGCAGGCACTGTAACTCTCCCAACAGTTTAACTTTACCCCTGATGGTGCACTCTTCCATTGTCTCTCGAGACAGATGGATGGAAACAATGGATATCTGAACACAGCTTATCCCTATGTGATCAAACTGTATTACAGTGGTACCTCGTGTTAAGAACTTAACTCGTTCCGGAGGTCCGTTCTTAACCTGAAACTGTTCTTAACCTGAAGCACCACTTTAGCTAATGGGGCCTCCCACTGCCACCGCTGCGCAATTTCTGTTCTCATCCTGAAGCAAAGTTCTTAACCCGAGGTACTATTTCTGGGTTAGCGGAGTCTCTAACCTAAAGCGTCTGTAACCTGAAGTGTCTGTAACCCAAGGTACCACTGTATTTTGACTGGCACCAAGAAAACAGAGGAGTGAAAAGCAGAAATACATGAGTCATAGGCAGCAATAGATACTCAGAGGCGCAGAAGCAAGGACTGGACCTCATGAGAGTGAGGAATTTTTCGGGATGCAGAAGTCCTCTCAAAGGCAGCTTTGGTGTCTAGAAAACCGCCCCCCTCATCTTCAAACAGTCCTATCCATCAGTGAAAGCAAGAAATGAAACTGTTCTCCCTCAGGGTTACAAGAGTGCCATTCAGTTTCATGTGAGAGAACAAAAGCCTTACCGATTCCCAAGACCCTAACAATGTGGGGGCATTCTGTGCATTTCCCCCAGGGTGCTGTAATTCACCCTATTCATTGACAGATCTTATCACCATCTTGAGCTACAATATATGACAGCATACAGGACTCATGACACTGTTCTCAGAGTGGTGTGACACGCTGCTTGATGGATCGTCTGCTAAGCCGAGATGACTTTCAGTGAGACTGCCGGTCAATGAGGACATGTCACAGAATCCTGACACAGAACGCAGCAATGCTTTCTGCCAATCATAATCAGTCATGGCGCTTTAATAGCATATCCTTTGTGGGATTGTTATTGATCCAAAGAGCAAGCACTGCCACACTCAGGATATGAAGGCTCGGCCGAGCCGGGCAGCGAGTTAACATAATAGAAAAAAGCTACACTTACTCTGGAGAGCCTCCAGGAGCATGGAGGCATATTTCAAGCATGATAAAGCAATCATCAAGTCAATCACATTCACAATAAATAACAGCTTTGCATGCATTTAAAAGCAAGAGGAGTGAACTCCAGATGCAGATCCAGAGCAGGTCCATTTGCTTTGTTCAAATGGTTTTGAAAGACCTTGCTTCTCACAGTCACCATGACTCCAGTCCTACGAATCAATGAAAGCAACTTTTAAAAAATGATCTACCCTTAACGTCTTGTTGTATATATAATATTTGCACAGCTTGTTATATGTTTGCTGTGCTAACAGGTGAAACTAAAATCATCTGATCACTAAATGCCCTAGGATGCTTTCAGGAAAATACATGTGTCTTCCGTTCCACTAAAGGAGGAAATCCATGCCATGCTGTGTCTACTGTTCTGTCAGCACAAGCAGTTTCAGCCTGCCAGATGGAACAATTGTGCACAGAGAAGGGATGGGGAGAAGTTCGATTCAGCTTGAATTTAGAGGCGTATCTGTTATATTTGCACTTCCCAAAACAATTATGAGAACTGAAACACAATCACCCTTCAAAATTCCATATTTTGTGACGCAGATCTCCAACCAATGCTTATAAAAAATACATACATTGCAAGTAAGTGTGCATAAAAAGTGAATGTAGTAGCGCAACTAACATACCAACTGTGCTACATTAGGTAAAATAGCTTGCAAAATGTGTACATTGGTCAAAACTGCCTGGGATTGAATCTGGGACCTTCTACATGCAAATTATCCCAAGCACAGATTATCCCATGAGATCACCCATTCACTTGCATGCCTGGATAATTTTTTTGAAGTTTTATTGATTTCCTACCCCTACCCCCAAGTATATCATAATTCATGTATTCACATGAGCATTCATACAACCTTTTGGGAAGGCTCCCTTCCTTGCTTGTGTAGATATTTCCATTATTCTATAAAACACTTTAAAAAATGATATGAGCAGCTTCTGTCTAGCACATAAATCAATCTCTCTTTCTCTCTCTTTAAAAAAAAATCTTTAGGAATAACATTAATTAGAATGGTAGCTGCTTACAACCTGATCAAGCCAATTACCCACCTTTTAATATAGACATGTAAAAGAATAAAACAGGAAAGTGAGCAGACTTTCCCATCTTGTAACCATCCTTTTTCTGCATGTTTGTACAGCATTGATGCTGGATCAGGTCTAGCATTTCAATGGTTGTGCTAATGATGAAGCTGCCACCACTATTACTGCTTTTTAAAAAAGCAGGGTTGGAGAAGTTGTGATTCTCACAATGCTGATTTCCATGCAAGGTATCAAAGGGGTGTGCAATCCCCCTTCAACTGCTTCTTCTTCCCTGCACTACTCCTTATGTGCTTGCAGTGGGTGGGAGAACAATGATGGGAGGAAGGGAGAGCAGGGGTAGAAGATTTAGAACTCCTTCCCTGTCTATTGCTCCTTCCATCTAAATCACATAATAACTTGGGCCAGGGATAGCTCAGTTGGCAAAGCACGAAACTCTTCATCTCAGAGTCGTAGGTTTGAGCCCCACATTGACAAAATATTCCTGCATTGCAGGGGGTTGGACTACACGACCCTTGTGATTCCTTCCAGCTCTACAACCCTATGGTTCAAAGGCAATGAGAAGTTCCTCCCCTCTTTGGATGTTCACTGGAGACCCACTTTCCCAGACTTGGGTCTTCTCCAAATATATAGTTTTGCCCCACTCACACTAAACATTTGCATAGCAGCTTTAAGTGTTCAGAGCACTTCGCATGGGTTAACTAGTTGCAATCTTTACATTATTATATGTGGGGACTGAGAAAGAGTGGCTAAGGCCACCTAGCGAATTCATGGCAGAGGTGAGATCCAAACCACGGGCTTCCTGATTTGCAACTCAGTCTTTTAGCTGTGATGCTATGACAGTTCACATGAAGTAGCCTTGTTAAGAAAGCTGCTCGCAAGAAGCTTTCCCTCTGCACAGACACACCAACCAAATACTCTCAGCCCTGGTATCAACTGCTCTGAATGGGGCAGCAGATTAACAGTTATTTTAGATCAATCTGAAGCAATCTGAGACCTAAACCTTCCTTAGGAGAGAGAGAGGATGAATATCTCTGATGGAAAAGCTATTCATCTGGATGTTTGGGCTGTCATTTCCTAATGCAGCCATGCGCTGCCAAGCTTTCCTGCAGCAAACTCAAAATGACACTGGATGTGGCCACCTAACGGAAAGCTTATGGAAAGATACACGGTTGTGTATCCACTGTCAATCTGCAGCATGGGTAGAGGACGTCTGCCAAACAGTGATTTCTGCACTCCCTTTTCCACATGCATTTCCAATGCATCGAAACACATAAACAAATAGCTGCCCTCAGCGTTTGTCAGTATCAGATTCGCCTCCAGAGAAGTAGCTATGGTTCCCAAGAACAGTGTGACTCTGTAGTAGATTACTTTCACTGCACTCCCCCCCCCACTTGGTCTAGCAAAGTTATTTTCCTATTCACTACTGACACACTACAAGAGAGGTGTCCCCAAATCCAGAATCCATTTCAAAGTCTATATTTCCCTATATCCATTAAACCAGTAGTAAGGAACCTTTTTCAGCCCAAAGGATGTGTTCTCACATTTATGGATCATCTCCTGGGGCCCACAATGGTAGGCAGGGACTAGGGATACAAGACTGCCTGTTTTGGATCTCTCGGTTTTCATTTTTCAAAACTTAAAATCAGTTCTCCACATTTCTGCAGGAAATTTTCATTTAAAACAACAACAAAAAACTCTCATGAAAATTCCGCGGCACTAGTGCATATTTATCCTAATAAACACATTTTTTTACTAACGTACGCATTTTTGCAAGCAATCACTCCTAATACGATGCATGTTTGTAAGTTTTTTAACTAATATATTCATTCCTGTGCACTAATGTTCCCATATATATATATATATACACACACACACACACACACACACACACACACACACACCATTGGTTGGAGAACTACATAGCAAAACCTGGATATGCATGAATTTTGATGGATTGTTTTGGTTTGGTTTGCATACTGTTTCAGAGAGTACAAATCCAATAGATTTGATTCAAGTTGAATCTCTCTCCTGTCCCCAGCAAGGAGAGGCAGATAGTGGGTGAAACCACAGGAGTGGTCTGTAGAAGGATCTGGCCTGGACAGAATCCCAAATGCCAGCCAGGGAGGCCAGCAGGACTGCATTTGCTCCACTCAAAGCAATTAACAGGACAACACACCAAGACCCTCAAAAACTGCGTCCCTCTTTAGCCACGCTGTCCGATCTCTTGAGCTTCAATTCGACACATGCTTACTTTGATTGTGTGAATATTCCACAGTGTTCTCTATTCTCTGCCTGTTTCTCCTTGTTTGGAACAGATAAACAAAGGCAATTATGAGCTCTCTTGCAAGTATCCACTAGTCCTCAGCTTATCAAGAAGCTAATTGCTACCTGCCTTTTCAGAGCCAATGAAGAAATTCCACAAAGCAACTCGGGGTCTTTATCATGTTGGACACACACAGCTTGTTTTCTCCTTGATCAATGCTATTGAATGGTGCCGTAATTATTGTACAAACTGTGCTGCAGCCACAAGTTCATAATTTTCTTTGAAGTTTATGTAACACTACAGGCTGGATGTAGATGGTAATGCTTCCATCCTTTTAATCATGGTTGCTGCTACAGATTTTTAAAGGTCCTGGTGGAAGAAGTGCAATTGGTATTGGCCAGCTTTGAAGCACAATCCAGATTATCACCTTTAGGTTTATGCAAGGCTTAGAAAGGGCTATTTAGACTACTACCGCACTCCCATTTCCTCCCAAATACCAAAAGCACATTCCCTCCAACAGCCATTGGAGGCACACAGTTTTTAAAAATTGGTTTTCTGGATTGCAGCTCTACAATATGGTTGAATATAGAATTGATGTTGCATAAGGTCATTTGGAAATAAAGACAACAGATTGGTTCTGATATAATGGAACCACAGTTTGGTGCTACATGATCAAAGCCCCAGTCCATCTAATTCCCTCTCCTGCTCCAGCCCCCCTTTCACTTTTGATTTGGCCATGATTGCCCACTGTGGATGCCACATCAAACTATGATTTAATGTGAGATTGGAACTGAGGAAGGGAATGAGAGTGTGGAGGGAGGAGGATGTGCACATGTGAGTACTGGGTCCATTCACACACCACCAAACCATGGTTTGACATTATTACACGACCATGGTTCCTCCATGCAAAGACAATGTTTGTGTATGAGCAGGTTTTATGCCCAATTGCTTTTGCCCATATAAAGATTAGGCATCTTCTTGGTGGATGAAAGCAACTCCACTTTTTGATGCATTTGTCTAGCAAAAGCCACGTATTAGTCTCTATGCCACTGGCAATATTTTATCACTTTCGGCTTGGTAAAGCATCAACTTATCTTCAAAATTTACTAATGTTTTCTTCAATCTATCATTTATGACCTGACACCTTCATTAAGCTCTTTCTTTGGAGGACAGCTCTTTGAATTTACTGCTGCTACGTACTGGAGCATACTTAAAAAGGAATCAAAGTTAACAACCTTTTTCATCTCCTGGCCTTTGTACTTTTAGATTGGATCAATTATTGATCCATACGTGTGGCTGTTACTCTTGGCCGGCCTGCAGCTGAAGGGAATTTTGTTGTGCTTCATTTGTTTGAACGGCCTTTAAAGGTACGGTTTTGAACGCATAAATAAGAGCACACCATGCCATTTAGGTACCGTTTTAGCAAACTGCCTATAGAAAGTGACAGTCTGGCAGTAATTCCTATATTAACTTAAAAGCTTTATGTATAATTGAGGAGGAGGCTATTTCAGCCCACTCTTAGATTTTATTCCAGGTTCAGAGATGCTTGATATTTACTGATTGGGGGGGCGCGAATATCATAATTGTTAGACTATAAAATTGTATACACATAGTCCAAGATGCACAGATCATTTGAACATTCTGAGAACTGAATTATTCCATCCAATTTTTGAGGCATGAAATCTGCCTCTTAACAGTAATCAGCATAGATTGGACAGACTACTGTGCTTTGGGACTTCAACCTACACATGCCCAAAGCAGCCTCATATTGCATTCTTGCTGAAGCTATTATTTACATGTACTGTATCTACATACAAATATACATTCCCAATATATGCAGTGTCACTCCACAGTGGCAGGACAGTGTCACGCAACAGCTCTCTGCCAGCAAGCTATGGAGGATGTCATAAAAGAATGTGGGTGATATCCAACAAGACAGTTCCACTAGTGCAAGGATTTCTGCTTGTGCAATGGACGTTCCCCTCCCTCTTCTCTCCCCTCCACACACTGTGCCCGCCCCAAATCTATTCCAAAAGAGTTGGGGAAACAGATTTGGGTGTGTGTGTGTGCAGAGAGAATTCCTCTTGGAGAAGAGAGGGAGGGCAAGTTCTGTCCTTGCGCTAGCTGATCTATTTCACTAGATAGTGCCCTACACGTTTCAGAGTCTTGTTGAGAAAGAGATAGAAATAGAGATTAGCATTGGCTGTGATCCAGAGGACTGTGCAGTGGCCAGCAGAGAGAGTGGCATGCACCTGTCCTCCTACCGGTGGCATCGCTGTGGTTTACTAGGGGGCAAAGGCAAGAGGTGATGGAAGGGGTGGCTGGGAGATTGGCACAATGCAGTTGCACTGGGAGAAGTGCTGCATTGGCTCCACCAGTTCACCGAACTCCCCGCCACCTCCCCTCTCCTGGTAAGCCACAGTGGTACTTGGGAAGCCAGGTGTGGCCCTGGTGTCCCTTTCTGCCAGCTGCTCCCGATACTGTGCAAAAAGTGAACATGAGAGCTTCTGAGCACCTCCAGCTAAAACCACTTGCCTGACAAAATACTCCTGAAATGTGAAGGGTTTTTGGAGGTCGCTTCTGACAGAAGCTGTGATCAGAGACAAAACAAGGAGATCAGCAATATTCATGCACTCTGTTGGATCCCAGCCAGTCTTCAGTGACACACTGCATTTGCCCCCCCCCCCCACAAAAAGGTATAACACACACACATCTACCTCTTCCATATTTGTTCCCAGTGTTTTCACTTCTTGCCCTTTCATCTCAAGCTGTTCCGTTAACTTTGAGAGTCGCTTAACTAGTTCCACAATGGTGTTCTCACGGTCGTCCTTTCTGATGTTCCCAAAGGAGGCCATCAGCTTCTTCAGAATTGTGTCATCACACCTGTGGGCAGAAAGACTCCAGTGACTGTGTGTTTCTCCACTGTAGCTTCATAAAGTTAGAAATGAATGCCCTTCGTTGCACAGCATAAAATATTTGAACTGGGCACCCCTGGGAACAAAATCCCTTTCTGAAACAAAACAGGATTCAGTTGCATAGGCAAGAAATGAAAGCATGCCTTTCTCTGTCTTTTGCTTTATTTTTGATTGTAAGTCACTGGGGGTTGCCCTGGTCAAGATAAAGTGACTAACAAATTTAAATAATAATAATAATAATAATAATAATAATAATAATAATAATAATAATAATACTTGTGGAATCTCCACCATTTGAAAAATAGGCCATGAGAAAGAATTCTGCTAATGAAATGTGGAATTTAGAACTAATAAGAAATTGTTTGTATGTAAAAGAATTTCTTCACCAAATTGTGGATTGCAATTGTAGTTGCAATCCCAGAAAGTTATGTGCATAGACAATGGGGCATGGGGCATGCAGCTGGAGATATCTCTGAAGTTTCTCTACAGCAACAGGGTTTCACAGGCAAGCTGGTTTTCGTGTTTAAGGTCAGCTTTCCTGTCGAGTTGTGTGAGTGACTACAGTGGAAGCTGCAGAGACACCTTGGCTTGCATGCACAGTTCTCCCCGGACGCGCTGCTATGCTGTCTAATATTATAGGGCTTGGCATTACTCTCTGGCGTTGAATCAGATTAATTTCATTTACCATCTGAACCTTGTAGATGCCAGGGAAAGCAGTGTGGGAAGCTCCGTTCTCATCCCTAACATCTACTTGAATCGGATGGATTTAATTAACATATGTTCTACAACTACAGGGGATAATCACTGATGTACTCAGTGTACTACCACCCTTTTGATTTGATACAACCATATTGCATGTTCTGCTTCAAATGCAACTGTACCTGCGATACATCATTAATTGCCCCCAGTAACTTTCTCAGACAATGAAGAAGTGTCCTACAAAAGCTCTCATTAGGACATACCCACTACTGCAACAGGGAAGTCTAGCGAGGAGTTTCTTCACTTCGGCCACCTGGGATTGCTGCTCCCCTGACCATTTCTCCTCTTCTTCATCAGAAGCAGCCTGGCCTTCCACAGAACGAAACATTTGTTCTTCCCCTGGAAACAAAGAACAACCTCTTCCTAAAATCTAGCGGCGCTCACCGTAACACCGTCTTCAAACAGTAGTTTCAAATGAGATTCAATTTAAGCAAGATCAAGTGGGTAATCTTAAATGAATAATTGGCAGAATTGCTAAAAGTTTCATTACTAGATAGAAGAGAACTTCCCCTTGGGAAGACTTAGCCAAAATGATGACTCTGTTACATTAAAAAAAAAATACACCCCAAGCTCCTGTCACTTTCTTAATTAAGAACAGTTGGCTCAATATGTCTGAAACTGCCTCTATCTAAGCCCTTTGCAAATGAATGGAAGGCACACTAAAGTACCATTCCCATTCATTACAGTGGAGTTTGCTCAGGAGGAAGTGAAATACTATGCCAACTTCTGCATCAGAGTCTACTAATGGCAAGCCAAAAAGAGTCTGAGAACGCTTCCTGGTTGTGAATGGATCCCCGCTCAGCCCTGTTCCAGTATAGGACCAAATCCTAGTCCTTGGCCCTGCCCACAGCCATCACATCCTGTCCCCATGCTCTCATATATATATTTCTCAGTTTTTCATATAAACCAACCTTTCCCCCAGATCCGAAACATACTGTAAAACTAGCCCTCCCAAAAAGCACATGAATTGACACAAAAACGAGCACTAAACTTCCACTGGATTTCCAAAGGTTGCTTTTGCAGTATGTGAAAGGCCATGTAAAGCACAAAAATGAATAGGAAATGAAATGTCCGGAAGTCCCCTCTAAATGCAACTGAAGTCAGAATATAAGAACAAACAGATAAAATAACAATAAGGGGTGCGGCAAGGCCATGGAGAATTTTAAAGATAAGAACAAGAAGCTTGTGCAGGATCTGGTAGTGGATAAGGAACCGGCGTAGGGGTTTATGAAGTGATATAGTCAGAGTGATGAGAGAAGGGAATTATGTTGGAAGCTCAGTGGTACAGTGTCTGTTTTGAATGCATGCAGAATGTCCCAGATTCAATCCCGGAATCTCTCAATAGGGCCTGGGAAATGCTACTATTTGAAACCTTAGAGTGTTGCTGCCAGTCAAGGTAGACAATGTGAAACAAATGGACCGATGGTTTTGACTCAGTACAATGAAGCTTCCTATGTTCTGTAGCAGCAGAATGCTGAACAGAGGTAAGAGGATTAAGGTGAAGCACTGGAAGAGCAGGCAGAAAAGTCAGTGCAGCAGGGGGGCCAGCAAGTGGTGAACAGGGTGTGAAGCAGAGCTTCCGCAGTGGGGACACAGAGGAAGGACCGTATTTTTGCAATGCTGTCAAGTTACAGAAGCTCGCAAAGGAGAGGCTTGCAGCTTTTAGGTAGCGTCACTCCAATTCCGGCTATGTGGGTGTATTCACAAGGGAGAAAGAAATAGGCTGGGGGATTAAGATAATTGCCTGCTTTATAGACATGGATTTCCTTACAGACTGGAGTTGGAAGAGTGCTGCTGGCCATTACTCACACATTCATCGCAAGTAGCTGTTTTGCAAACTGGAGTGCTAGGTTTTTCCGTTAATCACAGTACGTGTCGCTAGGGAAATACAAACAGCCTTCTTCTCGAGAGATGAATCTCTGCCACATATGCTAAAAGAATGAGTTCCGTCAGCCGTCACCTGCACTGCGCTGCTCAGTACTTGGCTGAGCAAGACGGGGCTTCCGTTTTAACGAGCCTGTTTGGTGTTTTTTCCTTTTTCTTTCTATGCCGGTTTGACACTTGATGCCTCTCTTTAACATTAAGACAGAGCTGTGGAATTTGATGTGCATGTATATTCGTGGCATCTTTCTACATTTCAGGTTCAAAAATGTGCTAGTTTGATCCATCTGCAGAAAGAGGCTGAAACCACAGAGAATATAAGGCTCCCAACTGGAAAGGCAAAGTGTTAGGAACCCAATGAAATAATGAGAATCTAAAGTAGAACTGTGTCTGCAAGGGCTGGGTTGACAACAGCAGATGGACAATGTCAATTGACAACAGTAAGGTCTCACATCCAGCATAATAAAGACCATATCAGAGCCCCTTCTCTGGGTGTTCCTGACTTCAGAGGTTAGTTGACCAGCTGGAGGAGAGTCTTTTTTGTGTGTGGCAGTGACAAAATTCTCTCTTTCCCTAAATATGTTGGCCTGGCATTGCCTTTGCTAACTTTGAGGTGCCAAATTCCACCTAGTTCTTTTGTTGCTTTAAGTGATATCCATGACCCAGTTTAACAGCTTTATTTGCTGCTTTTATCTAGTTTTCACTCTCTGGTCCTGTTGTTTTATTGGCCATTCTCATTTTGCTGTTTTGTACAGTTCTTGCAGTTTCGCTGCCTTTTATAGCAGATGCTGCCATAAGGCCTCCTGATGAAAGGTTTAGGCTACAAATGCAATAAATAATTGACTAGTGTTGTGGGCAGTGAGAGATGTTCAGCTACGATATTTTGAAATGAAGCCTCTTGGATCATGTCACATGCTTGTTGTTTTGTACCAATTGTTTGACAGGCATTTAAAAGAGATGGCACAAGGCTGGGTTGACAGAGAAAGCAGCATAGAGTGGTAGTGGGAGGTGGGGAGGGGAGGGGGTGACTTCTAATATCTTCCTATGCATATTTTGCTGCCAGCGATGGGACATGCTGAACAATTTTCATGCTGCCCAGGAGAGGGCACTGTTGTAAAACAAACAAATGAACAAGAAGCCAATACAGTTTGACCAGTTTAGCAGAAAGGAAGTTATTGTGTCATGTAAACTTTCTTCCTCTTCTACTGCAACAACACACACACACAAGCTAAGTGTGCGAAACTGAGAGAGTCAGAAACTCAGACAGGAGGATAAAGTCGGTGGCACAGGGGAAAGACATCATTTGACAGAACACGTCCTCAGCCCGCAAGTGACATAGCACAAAGCGTAAAGCGGGGGCGGGGGGGAGTGTCATTCTGAAGAAATACAGCCTTCCATTTCAATGTAACTCCCAACTCTTCATTAATAGCAAACACAGAAACATGGTAGCAGGAGCTTAACAAAACAATTCACTGCAGGGCTGCAGGATAACAACAGAAAAGAGCAGAGTGAGAATACTGTACTACAAGCCTGCATCCTTATTGCTATGGATGCAAATTTCCTCCACACGTCTCCCTTTCCCTCATAAATCCTCTCTCTTTTGGCACTACACAGATCCTCACTGCTCTTCCAGCTGTGATAGACAGGGCTGGCTCAAGACATTTTGCTGCCTGAGGCAAAGGGCAAGCTCCCACCCCAATTCCATGTACAACTACCAACCAGACTTGCAGCTTAATCTTATTTCAGTACTTGCAGCGTCTTCCATTGCACCAGAGGGCAGTAGGCGAGGTTGGGAAGGACAGGGCAGACTACGTGGCATTCACGACTCTGTCCTCCCAGTACCTTGCTGCCCCATCCCCATCATCTGCCAGCTCACCCTGGCGATAGATCAGTTTAAAACGCTCCAGGCAGCAGTCTACATTTCTTGGTAATAAGAGTTCAAAGAAGAATGGTCAATGGCGGATCAAGCAGAGAAGACTGACCCACAAGCCAATGATGAGGCTGACCTCCAAGATTACATTTTTGTTTTAGGAGTCACTGGGGTACAGTAGACACCCAGATTAGCTCTTTACAAACACGCAGGAGGCATGAACTTATAAGCAGCCTTCCTGCCTGCGCAGCTAAACAATCATTCTTGTCCCTCACCCCTGCCCAAGAATGGAAATATCTTTTCTGCATAGGTTTGTTCTGCAAATTGCTGACCACATTAGCCCACAGTACGCTAAAAGACATGATCCAGTATTATTATTTCCCATTTGCAAGTCTTCCATTTACCAAACAGTTGTTTATGCCGATGCTTTTCACTTAGTTTGACATGGCATGACCTTGAAGCTGAACGTTTAGATTTCAAGCCTCTCCTTCAGATACAGTACCTTGTCAGTCCTGATTAGTTCTTAAGCTGACTGACACTGCTTCTGTCTGACTGCAAGAATTAACAGCAGCTAAAGGGAATACCAAAAGAGGCAAGCACTGTGGGATTTGCACCGTGGTAAAATGTAGTTCATCCCGCAAGACTGGGGAAAGTTTCCTTACTTTCATGTCTGTGCTCTGGAGCTAGTCAAAGCACACCAAACTTTAAGCTTAGTTTTAGGCTACATCATCTCAGCCAGGAGCACGATCGGAAGATTCTTCTTATGCAAATAGCTAGAAGGGTGTTCCCATGTTACATTCAAAGAATGTACAATCTGTGTTCTCATGTACACAAGTCATTAAGCTGTATGTCTGTACGGTTATTCACATGCAACATGCAACGAGTGTACAACCCCTAATTTACACAGGTTTGCTGCCAGCAGAAGGAAATGGCTTCAATGTAATTGTCACTGAGTGTCACTGAAGCAATTCCCTTTTATTGGGAACAAGGCAAGGCATGCTAGGTCTGCTGTGGTTCCTGAAACGGTTCCCTACCAAGGTTTACATTCAGTAGAAAGAACTGAGGCAGATAATGGATGATAGTGTTGTTGCTGTCATTTTTCCTGCACAGGGCCTCACTTTTTTAAAAACCAAAACACCAGCTCATGTTGCTCTTGTTGCTGGCAGTGAGATTACTAAGCTTATGTTAGCAATGGGGGAACAAAGACAGGAAAAGAAGTAAAATCCCACTCACTGAGCTGTATCAGCTTGAGATTTCAGCCTGTCTGGGATTCGCTTTCCCATATAAAACTGAGCACATGTAATCCGTTTTATAACATACACATTTCTCATCATGCTCCAGTCTTGCCCTATTAACAGTCTTGCCCTCTGTGCTTCATCCTGTCTGCCACCTGCTACTCAAAGAGATACTCCTCACTGCTGCACGAATGTGGTCAGCTACTGAAGGGGCTGCCAATAACTGTTAAAGCAGTGCTTTAACGTAGAGAAATGGGACTCAGCTTAGACTCTTCTAGCTTTCCCAGAAAGTGGTGAACTGTGATCTGATTCAGGAAACCCTCTTAGTGGATTGGGAAGGGTGGTGGATGGTAACATCGCCCTTCCTCACAACACACACACACACACACACACACACACACACACACACGGCTGTCAGCTGGTCACAGGGCTGCCTGTTACTGGTTGGCATCCATCTGCTGCTTCCACCAGCCAATCTGCTCCCCCTGCCCTGGCGTCAGCGGCCTGTCCTGTGCTCAGCAGAGACAGCTGGGGTAGGACATGCCTGCTGGCCATGGAGCAGTCTGTTGCTGACTAGAATGGTTGCTGCCAACTGTTTAAAAGTTTTCCAAGTCATTTTTTAAACTTTAAACAGCATAAGCCACCACAGTGAAGTGCTGATGACAAATGACTCCCTGAGAAAATGACCTAGGGTCCTTCTTCAGAGTGAGGCTCTTGTGCCATGGCCACTTTGCTGCAGTGGCATAAACTCACATGAAACCCTCCAATGCATTTCAAAGCAGGAATGGAGAACAAATTGGAAAAGGGGTGGCGATGGAAGACTGCAAGTGTGTTTTTCTCTCTAGCACTGCTTTGGAAAAATATTAACGAGGCAGTTCTGGTGAACCTGCAGACATGAGTAAGAACTCTGTATCGCCTGTCAGATAACAGGCAAAGACTCACAAACACAGAGCACTCTCTTTATGAATGTGGTTGATGAATAATGTGCTAAATGTGTTTTCCATTCGGAAAAGGACTGCAAAAATGCTTTCTTGAAGCAGACAGTGCCTGAAGTTCATGGCCAGTATTTGAAAGCAAGCAGCAGCACATCATGCTCGCAAGCCAGAAGAAACCCACTAGAATTAAATATCCCCGGCTAGTTCTGGTGAAAAGAGAATTCTATCCAGCCCAAGTAAGACGGTGCAAATGAAACTGCCATCTTTTTGGGAGGAAACATTATGTTGCTCCTTGGGATGTCTGCCTCCTCGTGAGCTAATACAGAAGATCACCACACAAAATGATGCCCTCACAAAATGGCCGCTCAAAAAGATGGCTAAATGGTGCACTCCTTTAAGAAGATAAAAAGAGCTTGCAGGGTCAGGACAATGGCCCATCTGGATGAGCATCCTGTTCTCGCTGTGGCCAACTAGATGCCTGTAGGAAACCTGCAAACAGGACCCAAGCACAAGAGCCCTTACTGATGTTTCCAGCAACTGGTATTCAGAAACATTAGTGGCTCTGACCATGGAGGCAGAGCATGGCTGGTCCATGGATAGCCTTCTCCATGAATTTGTCTAAACCTATTTTAAAGCCATCCAAGCTGGTGGCCATTGTACCACATGCACACCAAGTTTCCATACCATTCTCTGACATCCCTGCACCTCCAGTGGGTGAACTTCTATCTCGCTGTACAACCGATGAGGCATATTGGCCACCAGCCACTGCTGTCTTCTGGTCCGAGCTGCCTTGTGAAGGAAGCTGGTGCTTCAGGACTTCCAACCTGAAAAAACACACAAAGGTAAACAGGCAAAATAAGCCAAACGGTGAGAAAGCCAAATAAACACTTTGCATGGCCGGATGCTCCATAACACCCAAGCAGCTTCACTAAGGATATGGTTTCTCTGGCAGATGTTGGAACAGTTTGCTCTGTATATGCTTGTGCAGTTCATGTTAGTTGTGGTCCAGTTCGGACACTATGGGAAAGCCACAATTTGCTAGTCAGGGCTGTGTCACAGACTCTTGGACCCAGAGGTGCCAATGTCACACGTGTGACATTGACAGGTATGTCAATGTCACACGTGTGATGTTCTTCAGCAATTGTACGGTCCAGCAGAATTAGAAGTGCATCAAAAAGAGACCCCTGCCGAAAACACTAACAACAACTAATTCTGCCCCTGCAATGAAATAAACAAAATAGTACGGTTATTATGGAGTGAAGGTAGTACATTTGTATTTCATCCGGAATTTTCAAAGCTGGAACAAAAATGAGGCATTTGTAACAGTTTCTAAACACTGTTTGGGCATGCAAAGAAAACCCCACAAATTGAAGTTTAACACTGAGCATCACATGCCAGAGTGAAAATCTTTTTTAACAGATGTATTTGAACATTTCACAGTTTAATGGTTCCTGCTGCTCATTCTGGTTTCTCACACTGGGGATTCTGGCTATAATTGAGTTGAACGCTATCCATGCATTCAATGTCGTAATGAAAAATAACCCTTCTCACCATATGTAGTTAACCTTTTTAGGATTTGACCGTACTGACTGCCATTGGGTGGTGGAGTCCCAGATTGATTGATTTATTGTTAATAAATAAATAAATAAAAGCTGAATATTATCCTAAAGTTTTATTCCATGTTATTTTGAAAAATCAATGAAATATATTTTAGAAATAATAAAAATATTGTGAACTTGTATCAGACAGTATGAAGTGATTCAGTGTGAACAATTATCACCTTGTTCAGAAGACTTTAGGATGGAGAAGGTACCTTCTTCTGACATCATCTAAGTCTGGAGATAATACTGCATCCTTCCAGGTGCTTGGCAACTCACTTGTTTTTGCAGTCACAGGCAGACAGCAAAAACAGGACTTTCCAAGCTCCTAAAGTCTAGCTGCCATACATGGCTGTTGAGTTATGCTCACCTTGAAGAGTTAAATGATGTCCAGGCCAGCTACAAAGAGAAGGTCCAAATGTCAGTATTCATGAGGGCAGCAGATGTTGGTTCATTAGGGCAAGTGGGGCACCGTCCCACCAATCTCACTTGGCCATCAGCCAGCCTCCCACCTTGCCTGCCTTATTACTTACAACTAAGTCCAGGCAGTGGCTCTGGCTGTCAGCTTCCTCCTAGCTCCTCAGTCTCAGTTTTGCCCTTGTAGAACTCAGCTGGGAGGATGGGGACAAAACTAGAATTCACTGGCTCCATCTGTCATGACTCCAATTATTATTGTCCTTCCTTATTTCTGCCCTGCCATTCCCAATGGGCACCCAACCAGATGTGGGTGGATATTGCCTACATGCTTTTTTCTGATGCCACAATAAGCGAAAAGGCTAGAACCACTCTCCGCCACCCTTATAGAAAGCTGAAAATTCTAGGCAAGGCCCTGGAATACCCCTAAGAGACCTAGACCCCTAAGCCCCCTCTCCCAGTTACAACCCTGCTCTAGGGGAAAATGAGGTTTTGGATGCATTAAGTTAGATATTTACTTTTTTTTCACTTACCCACAGTGCCTTATTTGCTTTAGCTAGCTAACTCTCATTCTTTCCCTCTCTCTATTAGAGCACATGCACCAAGGAGCCCTTATTTTACTGGTTTTGTTGTTTTTGCCTAATATATTTTGCAGCATTAAATTCAGTATCTTGCAGAAGCTGGATATAGCATAAGATAGCTAGTAATAATAATAATAATAATAATAATAATAATAATAATAATAATAATAAATTTATACCCCACCCAAGGGACACGGGTGGTGCTGTGGGTTAAACCACAGAGCCTAGGACTTGCCGATCAGAAGGTGGGTGGTTTGAATCCCCGTGACGGGGTGAGCTGCTGTTGCTCGGTCCCTGCTCCTGCCAACCTAGCAGTTTGAAAGCACATCAAAGTGCAAGTAGATAAATAGGTACCGCTCTGGCGGGAAGGTAAACGGCGTTTCCGTGCGCTGCTCTGGTTTGCCAGAAGCAGCTTAGTCATACTGGCCACATGACCCAGAAGCTGTACGCCGGCTCCCTCGGCCAATAAAGCGAGATGAGCGCTGCAACCCCAGAGTCGGTCACGACTGGTCCTAATGGTCAGGGGTCCCTTTACCTTTACCTTTATACCCCACCCATCTGGCTGGGTTGCCAAATACGTGATCTTTCCCCTTCCCAAAAGAGAGACTTTCAGATGTGTCATATGCTAGGTCAAGCATAGGCCTGAATGTCTGTACCAGTCCACTGCAAATTTCCAAGACCTGCTTCACCACAAAGTGAGGGGAAGAAACAATCTAGGTGGTAAATTTCAAAAAGGGCTGTCTGTTTTTTGCATACAAATTCTCATTCCACAAGTGTGTGTGTGTGTGTGTGTGTGTGTGTGTGTTCTTAATGAACAGCTTTAGATGTAAAAATGTCTAAGGCAAGCACTATAAATCTCATTGAACCTCTGTCATTCCCCCCTCCCCCCAAATCTGGGCTTGGCTCTTTTTCATTAGCATTCATAAAACCTCTCATAAACGTTGAAGAAGAGTGAATAAGCAGCACGTCTGTGCGGAGCAAAGATCATAGGAGAGGCTGGCTCTGGGAAGTGCGTGTGTACCATGCAGTACAGCAAGGTTTCCATAGAGACAGCCAAATAGACCACATTCATTTTAAGGCTTTTGTGTTGAAGATAATGAGAAGCATGAAAGAGGGAATATCTAGAAGCAGAGAAGACTGCATATTGTTGGACCTCAAAGTAATGTCCATGACTAATTGGCTTTTAATTAAGGCTATTCCACTATCAATGAAACGTTTAGCTGCAACTCGAGGCAGCTGCTACTAGTGTAAAAACTGAGATTAGTTTGGCTTGTTAGCCCAACTGGATAAAAAGTACATTTCTATATATGCTTATGTGTTTAAAGAGGACAGGACTATCAGTGGCTGGGCAGTGGTGTTGTGGGAAATGTTGCAACGCAGAAGCTGATGTCATGGGGGTCCTCATAGCCCAAGAATTCCATAACAATGTCCCAAAGGGTTGCAGGCAGCTGTATCTGTCTGTCTGTCTGTCTGTCTGTCTGTCTGTCTATCTATCTATCTATCTATCTATCTATCTATCTATCCATCCATCTATCCCATAGAGTGAACTGGCAAAGGGTGGTGTAATGGTTAGCCTGCTGGACTTTGCTTATGAAGACATGACTTCAGATCCCTGGTCAGCTATGATCAGATCCCTGAACAGCCTTTGGCTCAATCATTAACTGAGCCTAGGCGACCTAAAAAAGGGACTGTGTGCCAATTCAGGCCTGTCCTCTAATTGCCCAAGTTTCCTACACCGAGAATGGTCACATCCATACAATACATTTAAAGCATGTGGCTTCCCCAAAGATTCCTAGGAACTATAATTTACCCTCACAGGGCTACAATTCCCAGAACGCTTAACAGACTGCAGTTCCCAATACTTAAATTTAAATGTGCATTAAATTTATGGTGTGGGTGTGGCCAAATACCACTTCAGCAGATGACATCATTGTTCTTGTTGTGAAAGAAGTACCAGAGTTGTGTTCCCTGAATTCCCTGTCCACTATACCACTGCCCTGGGTTGTTTGCCTCCAGCATCTTGTAATTTGAGTAGCAACCTCTGAATAAAGAGGCCCAGTTTTTCCAACATGCTCTGCTTGTGGCCTCTTAAAGCATTTGGCTGTTGAAGACAGAAAGCTGAACTACCTGGACCTTTGGTCTGATCTAGCCAAAGCCATTAGGTGATGTGAATTAAATTTAAATAATGTCACAATCCAATGATAGTTTTCCTCCAGTCATTAAATCTGAGGATATTGGTTTAGCAGTTCTTCTCTAATGGAAAACTGCTCAACTAAACAATTACTTGCTTAATACTATCACTTCAAAATAGTTGGTAGATTGGTTTCATAATGAAGCTTGAGGGGTGCTTGCGTCTACCAAGATCTCCCTTCTCTAAGAACATCTGTCCAGCAGAAGGTGAAATAATTTATCTTCTGCAAACCAACCACAACTGGTGTAAACATTCTTCAAGGCTTCATCACGTCAACATCACAATGTTCTTGCACTGCTGTGATTTCCATAGGTCAGCCTTCCCCAACTTGGTTTCCTCCAGGTGCCTCAAACTTAATTCCCATCAGCTCTGGCCAGCATTGGCCACATTGACTCGGTTGATGGGATGTGTAGTCCAAAAAATCAGGAGGGCATCAGGTTGGGGAAGTCTGCTCTTAGGTCCTTTTTGTGAGTGAGTGAGAGGCAGACAAGCAGGCGGACTGACTAGCATTTCCTCTAGAAAAAAAACATTTTAAATTTTCAGCCTTTCTATCCAGCATCTTAAAATAGAGTTAAATAGTGCTTTTTCGCAGCAAATTAAATGCAGAGCACTTGAGCCTAATGGATTTATTTAAACTGACTAGACCTGCTGGAATTATATTGCCTTCTATAGTAATAATACTCTGAGGCATACTTCCTGCTCTTTGAAAGCATTATTCTCTGACAAAAATGACCGTATTGACTTCAGCTTTCTTCCACAACAGAATCATTTGTTATATAACCTGCGCAGATCTCTAGAGCACTATATGATTCTCACACATACATTATAATGCCTTGCAAGGCTAACATCCTATGCTCATTTACTCCGAAGTAAGTCCCGCTGTGTTGAGTGGGGCTTGTTGGCACGTAAATTGCATAGAATACTCCATTATTAAATCCTACTGTGTGTGGTGTAGTGGTTAGAGTCCTGGGAGATCAGGGTTCAAATCCCTACTGGACCATGAAGCTCACTGGGTGACCTTGGGCCAGTCACTGCCTCCCAGCCTAACCTACCTCACAGGGCTGTTGTGGGGCTTGAACAAGGAGGGGAAGAACCACATATGGCACCTTAGGCTCCTTGGAGAAAAGTGTGGGATACAAAGGAAATAAATACAATAAAATAAAGCAACTCTTACATAGATGAAGCAACAAGAGCCCCCTTCAGATGCTGCTAACTCCCATGTTGTTGTTGTTGTTGCCTGTACCAAGCACTATACTGGTGTTCTGCTTGTCCCCTGACATGCACTGAACAATGGGATGTGCCACATTCTGTGGAAACCTTTTGGGCATACAGCTATATGGGCAAAGACCTCCTCCTTACAGACATCTGTTCTACAATGAAACACAGGTGCTAATACTAAAAGGGGCTCTTGTCTATTTCATGGTAACTCCTGCTTTTAGAACCCCACGGGGTTTTCATAAATTTAGGAGGCTCCATTCCTCTCCCCACCCATTGCTTCTGTAACACCACCCATGCTTGACCTGGATCCGGGATTGACTTTCTGGTTAATCCCTCCCTCGTCCCTGACACCTGGCTATTTGGCACTTCTCTTCTTAAGCCAATTCATTTTTTCCCCTGCTTGAAAAGCTGTTTAGACCCTGGGAAAGAGAAGCAGCTTTCTGACTGTCTCAAGGGCCAGTTTCCAAAACTGTCTGGGGAGAGGGAACCTAACAAATTAGCAGCTAGCAAAGTTTGAAGCTATTTGGCTGGATCCTATCCTTATTTCCTTAGAAGTCTGAGAAGTCCCACCATTTTTTGTGTTATGTAGCCAGAAGAGAGCATGGTGTTATTTCATTCTCCTCTAGGCGTCACTCTGATATTACTTTGATTACATTGTGATAAATTGCTTCAGAGGTTTTTAAATATCCTGATAAATGGGTCTAAAGAAAATAAAATTTAGGAACAGGAGAAACATCTCATCATTGCGAGGGGCCTCAGAAATTTGTCACCATATAGTGTAGCCGTATACAAATTAGCTCTCTCTAATCTCAACACAACTATTCATGAGCACATTCTTATTAGAAACCACAATCTAAAGCTAATATTTAAAATCAAGCATCCTCTCTCCAAACAGCACTCGCTCAGCCAATGTGTCTGCTGCTAAGCATATCATTCAGACAATTAATAATAACAGGGAAGCCAGGATTTTTGTTCCAATGCCTTCAAAATAAGTCCAATCCATTTTGCTAATTAATGCATTGCGTACAATTTATTGTCAAAGCCTTTACTTCGATTAAGGTACGTGTTACAGTTCAGTGAGTTCTCCTATTACAGCTAATGCACTACTACACAAACTGGTGAGTAAGAGAAATCTGGGGAAGTGTTTCAGTGCCTAATAGATACACATATACTTCTGTCTAAACCCAGGGTTCAATCTATATTCCTCCAGAAGACTACTCTTGGAGACTGGCATACTTAAGTACTGCTTATAAATCTTTAAGTGATTATGCCTTAGCTATGCCACAAAATGGCTGCTGCGGTCTTGCATGAGGAAGTAACAAACCACTGACATTCTCTCCCTTGCTTCTTCTAATAGAATACCTATAAGAATGGGGTTTGGGTCTGAAATTCTACTTAGACAAGAGAGACAACTGCTCTAAGCAATTAATGAACGGGTTTGTAAATAAAGCTTACTATTGCTTTCGCGTTCATTTTTCTCCCACCCATCTGGCTTTGCTTCACTATTAAACGGAGTCTTCTTATATTTCATTATCTGTCAAGGATGGAACCAAGTTAGAAACATGTACCTTACAGACCATGTAGTGGTGATGAAACCTACCTGGAGCCATTTGTTATTTTTCAAGGCAGTCTTGGCCAATTTTTGGCCAAAGCCATGTAGAAATTCCTTAATAAATAATTAAATTAATGGTCTCTATATCATTGGTCTAATGTATTTTGGTATGCTCTAACTGGGGACAGGTGAGTTAGTGCTCAAGAAAAGATGAAAGAGAATTTGACTTGGAAATCGGGGGCAGTGTTGGAAGGGTGCTTATGCTGACTGCTTTCAACTTGGTTTTGAAAAATCCTCATCTCCAGCTAAAATACAAATCCTTTCAGGAGTACATTTCATCCAGATTCTGTGGAGCCTAGCAGACTGTCAGAAACCAGAAACAGATGGTAAATTATGTAGCAATATCTTGTCCCGGGATTTTGTTTGTTTATTTAGGTTTTTTTGTTGTTGCTGCTGCTCCAGAGTTTGGAAACAGAGAAGTCGGAAGCAGAACTAGAGACTAACCTAAAGGGGTTGGGGGGTGGGAGAGAATTCAGTTATAATGGGGAGTGAGTACACTCAAAGTACTTCCAATTTTACTGGCACTTTAAATATATTGGACAGGCAGAATAAATTAAATCTAGTTGAAAAATTTAGATATAGGATTTGTTTGAATTCGTTTAAACTAATTCATTTCAATTCATTCAGTACATCATTAGCTACTGTTGGTGAAATTTTGCCCCATTATATCAGTTTTCAAAACATGAAAATAGCCTGTTCTGTTCTCTCCCACAACAGTGGCCCTATAATATTATTCATAAGGGTTAGCATTCCTTGTGAATAGCCACTGTCACACAGTCAAGAGATTTCGGATAAGAACTCATTTCAGGCTAGAGCCATTAAGTACCGTATTTTTCGCTCTATAACATGCACCTGACCATAACACGCACATCGTTTTTAGAGGAGGAAAACAAGGGAAAAAACATTCTGAATGAAACAGTGGATGTATCATTTTTGTGCTTCATGCTGTGGCCACAGACATGTGATCTGATGGTGAATTTGGGGTGACCCAATGCAAAAATCCTGATAATTCCTGTGGATCCATGCTTTGTAACCACGTTTTTGCACCATTGCAGCCCCAGGCAACAGTGGGTGCGTGATTTTTTGGGTGCAGGCTGTAGCCATGGACATGCTATGTGATCTGATGGTGAATTTGGGGTGACCCAATGCAAAAATCCTGATAATTCCTGTGGATCCATGCTTTGTAACCACGTTTTTGCACCATTGCAGCCCCAGGCAACAGTGGGTGCGTGATTTTTTGGGTGCAGGCTGTAGCCATGGACATGCTATGTGATCTGATGGTGAATTTGGGGTGACCCAATGCAAAGATCCTGAGAATCCCTGTGGATCCATGCTTTGTAACCACATTTTTGCACCATTGCAGCCCCAGGCAACAGTGGGTGCGTGCTTTTTTTGGTGCAGGCTGTAGCCATGGACATGCTATGTGATCTGATGGTGAATTTGGGGTGACCCAATGCAAAGATCCTGAGGATCCATGTGGATCCATGCTTTTTAACCACATTTTTGCACCATTGCAGCCCCAGGCAACAGTGGGATCTATGCTTTGTAACCACATTTTAAGTGGGGAGCGAAGGAAAAACAAAGAAGGGACATGAGAGGGCAGAGAAGCAGCTGGCTAAGAATGCTGGAGAGGGATTTAACCGGTGGGAGAAAAAGAAAGGCAAAAGTTCCCCCCCAAGCCAGCCATCTCTCTCTCTCTCTCTCTCTCTCTCTCTCTCTCTCTCTCTCTCTCTCTCTCTCCCTCCCTCCCTCCCTCTCTCTCCCTCCCCCCTCTTTCTCCCTCTCCCTCCCCCCCTCTCCCTCTCCCTCCCCCACTCTCTCTCCCTCTCCCCCAGCAGCACCGGAGCACAGAGAGGAATTAGAAAGAACGACACTCTGCTTGCCTGGAGGGGAGGGGCTTTCCCTGCTCTTTGTTCCGTTTCAGCAATCACAGCAACGAAACAGAGAAGGGTGGGCAGTAAGACCCTGAGGCAGAATGCAGGAAAGCTGCCACTTCCTCTTTTCAGGTTTCCCTTCTCCGTGACTCGCGATTTGACTTTTGCTTGATTTTTTGGCTCCAGGGACCACACATTCGCTCTATAACACGCACAGACATTTCCCCTTCCTTTTTAGGAGAAAAAATCTGCGTGTTATAGAGGGAAAAATACGGTAGGTTGTGCTGTACTGAAATCACATGTGATTTTTAAACATTTGTCATGTTCACAAAGGTCAGGAGCTGAGGAGACATGTCTGCCAACCAGCCCACTTGCTCTCAATTATTTGTCTTTTAACCAAAAAGTAAACATTATCTAATCCAAGGTATATCTTGCTTATCTGTAATTACTATGTTTGGCCCCTGTAACATAATACAGGCCAGCATAGAAAACTGAAATAGGCCAAGGAAGTCAGCTACAGAACTATAAGCAATATCACTAAGGTAGTCATCAGATTAAACATATAACAACTTAATTATTTCATTGTAACATTTCTATTCTGCCTTTCCTCCAGTGAACTTAGGGCAGCACACATGGTTCTTCTCCATCCACTTTACCATCAGAACAGCCCTGAAGCTTCGGCTGAGAGATGATCATGACCGAGTGGAGACTCGAACTTGGATCTCCCGAGACCATGTCTAACTCAGCAATGGGGAACCTGTGGCCCTCCATATGTAGTTGGAGTTGAGCTCCCATCAGCCAGTATGGCCAACGGTAAGTGATTATGACCACTGTACTCTAGCAACACCTGGAGAGCCACAGGTTCCCGGTCCCTGCTCTAACCATTATATCACACTATTAATCTGTCAAACACAATTTTTTACAACTGTTCTAAAGAAAGAAAAATGCATTCTTTTTCATGATGCACTTGCACAAGTACAAGAGGCATCATCTGAGAAGAGGAATCCCCCCCTTTTCTCACACGGATTGGTACATACATGTACTTGCATTAAATAGTACTTAAAATCTGCTGCTCAATTGATGGCACCTTTTTTAGTTGATCAGAAATATTTAATGCATTACTCTAACGAATCACTCAATCACTCAACTATACATTGCTGCCACATTGACCCACGAGCAACATTTGCAGGGTTAGGGCAACACATGAAAGCAGATGTGGCCGAAGAAGGCATGACCAAATCACAAATGTGGATACAGGCTTTTTCTTTTTTGAATGAAGAGGGCAAAAGAAGAGGGGGAGCAAGTTGCAAAAACCTTTTGGAATCACAGTAGATGACACTTGACCAGAGGCATGCCTAGACAAGGAGATGTATTAGTGTCTCCAAAACCAGGAGAGACCATGACCAGAAACTCAGAAAGTTTGCTTTCATCTCTCTCTCTCTCTCTTTCTTCCCTCTAAGCCTCTCCGGATGTTCCACTCACACTTCTAATAGCACCACTTGTCAATTGGGGAGGGGCCCCAGCAGGGCTGCTGCAATGGCCTACAACAGCAACCAGATTCTTCCTTCTAGGCGCCCAGAGGAACCAGCACACCATGTACCCAGAGCAGCAAGGGAGCAGCCCACAGAGCAGGCGGATGGACTCCTAGTCACTCCAAGCCTGTGCAGAGAGGTGCAGTTTTTGTGCCCCCCCCTGGACCTGGGCCCTTAGCAGGGGCCAACCTGACCATCCTCTAGGTACACCACTGCAAGTGACAGTATATATCTTTCAGCATCACAGGGTCACATGGGAATACCTATGGGAGCAGTCAGTAAAGCAGAGGGTGAGCTAATGCAAAGAGGAATTGAGCAGGAAGAGGAAACAGTCTCTCATGCACTGACAGCATTGAGGAGTCCACTCACACAATCCACTGCTGAAAGTGGGAGTGAGAAGAAAGAGGAGGGCCTTCTCCCAGGCTTCAGAATCCCATTAAATTATTCTTCAGGGGTGCCAAGAGTTCTAGCCAATTATCTGAATTTATACACTGAGCAACTATTACCATAACAATGGAATGGATCCATGTGCCAGGTACACATTCCAAATGCACAAATCACGGTGTCGATAACGTCGCTCTGTATCAGCCATAAGACATGCTTTTAAAAAACACTACTTTTTGAAGCCTACTGTTCAACGCAACCAAGATTCAGCCTTTAGTCCTTGTTGAGAATATTCCTGTCCCTGGGTGTTTTTTGCTCTCCTCACCCCCATCAATAAAATCTGAAATGGTGCCTGACCTGCAGAGTTCTAATCCATCATTTGCAAATATGTGGAAATCACAACTTCCCCTGATTTGAGTTTGAGCTCAAAACGGTAGGATCACCATGAATTTAGGAAATTATTTTTAAAAATACATTTTGACAACCCTGCAAGTTCCCAGACACAGCTTTTTCCTGTTTTTCGGTAATTTCCTCAATGGATATCCACAGGAAAAGGAGGAAACATGGATGAAAACAGAAGAACAACACTCGGAAAAGGGAAGCCACAGTGATAGGAGGAAAACCTGAAATAAATGTAATTCAAGCTACAAATCACAGGTAACATTTGATGCAAAAGCAACCAATAAAGCTACATTACAATACAGAAAGGAGAGAACTACTTTTTCTCCCAACGTGATATATCTTATCTTTTCTGAATATTGCATTTCTTTTCATTTCTAACTATGGAAAAATAAATGTGAGCATTCTCAAAAAAAATGTGTTGTTGCATGCAACAAAGTCATTGCTTGAGTGGAACAACTTCTGCTTCCGCCATGGAACACCCTCCTTTCTCTGCCCCCTTTCTCTCCCCCCTTTGTGCCCTCCCAATCATCCCTGGGGGTTTTCCCTAACCCCACAAAGCAGATTTTAGAATTCAGGAGTTACATGGGGGGGGGATGTTCCACTGTAATGACTATTGGATACAACCCTGCATGTTGACATTTTGAGTCTATGTTTTCTGGTTAAGGTAGTCACAGTACTCATTCACATACCATCAACAATTACAAATCCCAATAATCTCCTGGGTCCACATACAGAAGACTGGGGCCACTAGAGAGGGGCAGAGGTACAAGGAGGAGATCACATAATTTAATGTTTGTAGATGGGATGGATCTTATGCCTGCCTGCTCAATAGTAAGTCCCATCAAGTTCAATGGGGCTTTCTTCCAAGTAAATGTGGACAGGACTGCAACCTAAATAAGCTGTAAAATAAAAAGTTTTATTTTATTGGACTTCCTCCTTTAGGAACTATGGGCTAATAGTTATAACTGCCCATATAACATGATTTACAAGTAAGCAAGTTGAATAGGATATTATGTAAATACAAATATTTCACAAGAAATTATGCTTCTGAGGAGGGAAACTGCTGTCTGTAACTGAAGCCAGCTGTAAATTCATTTCCTTAAGGGATTAATGATGCCATCCCATAAGCATTCAGAAATCTGGATTCCATCAGGAGGGTCGGAGGGAGGGCTTTTAATGTTTGTCCTGTTCAAAATTAGGAAACACCAGAATGAACACATCATTCTATAACTGATCCCAGTTCAAATCTAAGGGGGAACTACGGTACTAGCTGACATTGAATTTTAACTTCCATTAAGAACTGTCTGATGGAAATCGTTAGTTATAGATTGGCATGCCTTGTAAATTAATGGAAACTTTGTTTGCGGGATTTTTGTTTGTTTGTTTAGTTGTGAGGTATCCAGGTTTTTGACTGAAAAATTCTAATTAAAGTGTTTAATTATTGGCAGAGTAAGTGAAGGCGCCACCCACATACAAGTCTGCCCCAATCTCCTCTGAAGACCACTTGCATTTGGATTGCAACTGCTTCATCTCAAACACTGTTGGCGACAAGAAAACAGGAGCGCAGTACAGACTGCAGTGAGTCACCTGCCGAATCCCGCATTATTTTTCAATGCACATTTTTTAAATCAAATAATAATAATAATAATAGAAAGGAATATTACTGGAGTGCAAAGCTATAGCTAAAACATGAGTACTCAAAACATCTGCCTGTTTACTCAAGCTCTTTGAAAAGTTAGGCTGGATCAAAGGATAGCTCAAAGGGTATCATTACTGTTAAACACCAACAACAGTTTGGCAATAGGTTCCCCCCCCCCTCAGACAAAGAGAAAATAAAAACACTAAAAGCTAGGCCATACCCAGGGAGTACCTTAGTACAAAGGCTGTTCTGTCTTTGTGTATCAAACCCACAAATTCTGTGAAAAGGAAGCAATTACATGGCAAGAATAACAAAGATTCTGCACACAAAATTATTTATTTGATGCACTGACAATCCCAAGGGTCAGAGCAACAGTGACCAGAGTCCAAAGAACCAAAGGCAGTCTGGGTAGGTGGGGCTGGTCCAGGGTCACATTCCTTTTCTATACTTCACTGCTCTCCTGCCCAGGCCTAAAGGTCAAAGCTCAAGCTAGGGAATCTGTGTTTTCTAGAGAAAGTCTGCCATATTTGAGGGGGGGGGAGAGTTATCTTGATTTATAATTCCATCCACAATATGGTACCCATATATATCCACATGAGGTGCACCCCTCCAAGTTTACATGTGTTAAATCACCTCAGATAAATTTCTCTAAGCAAAATATAATTGGTAGGCAGTCTGTTTAAGTAAGCTGTGGAGCTCAGCAATAACTGCTACAGAAAACAGACAACCATTCTCTTGAAATAAAAATGAAATAATGAAACAAACAGGGAAGAAAAATCCAGCAAAGGACGCTGATTCTGAATGCGAGGGGAAATGTGCCGTTTTACATTCAATATTTGCAACCACACCGCTGAAAAGTGTGATTCATTGCCACTGTTCCCTTTTCAAATGGCTTTACCAGATATCATATATCATTCTGAAGTCATTTATCAGCTCCCATTTTCTAAAGGGCATATTATGATCAAAACTACAGCATTCGTCTAAACCAATTCCCTTTACAATTATAAAAAACCTGAACTGCTACATTTAATAGGATGCAAGTATTTCTTAAATCTACAGAGGGAGAAAAGGTTATAGTACCGTATGTGCTACAATTTGGTTACTCTTTTGCCTTCTCTCCAGTCTATAAACTAATAAAGGTAAAGGTAAAGGTACCCCTGCCCATACGGGCCAGTCTTGACAGACTCTAGGGTTGTGCGCCCATCTCACTCTATAGGCCGGGGGCCAGCGCTGTCCGCAGACACTTCCGGGTCACGTGGCCAGCGTGACAAGCTGCATCTGGCAAGCCAGCGCAGCACACGGAACGCCATTTACCTTCCCGCTGGTAAGCGGTCCCTATTTATCTACTTGCACCCGGGGGTGCTTTCGAACTGCTAGGTTGGCAGGCGCTGGGACTGAGCGACAGGAGCGCACCCCGTCGCGGGGATTCGAACCGCCGACCTTTCGATCGGCAAGTCCTAGGCGCTGAGGCTTTAACCCACAGCGCCACCCGCGTCCCTCTATAAACTAATATGTTTTGGCAAATCTGAACTCCCTATAACATATATTCACGCTGAATGAATTTGCAAAGAAATCCAACAAATGATGAAAAATAAGGAAGCCACAGATCTCCTAGCTGCTTTTATAGGCACCAATGGTACATAGGAGAAAGGAAAACTTCACCCCTTCCCTCCTCCTCATTTTTCCAATCTAAATCAGCAACGGATATTAGTATCCATATATTTTTCACTGTTGGCGAATGGCAGTCTGCAGGGGTGGGGTGGGTAGGTTAGAGCAGCTCCCTCCCTCCCCCCCAAACTGCCCTAGGAAGTAGATTAGGGAGACTGAGA